TAAAATTTCTGATTAACCTCAAAAAGGGTTTTTTGGAAGATTTCTCTTAGTATACATTACCAAGGAAAAGTTTCTGTCAAATATGTGTGTGAAGCAGGGGATGAAAATTGAAATACAGAGACGTCTGCTGATGGGTTGCGTGGGAGTGAGCTGAAACATCAAATATCAAGGAAAGTGTGAGTTTGAGAAAATATCAAATAAGGAAGAAACTAGAAAATGATGCGTCATTTTCCCTTAAACTAGGAAGTTGTAAGATGAAGCGATTGACAAAAAGCGGTTTCCTAGAGTAGAATCTGAGGTGCTTTATTTTTTTGGATATTTCTCGTATTTTTTGGATCCATTTAGTCAAATCTTTGCCTACTCCAACGAGTACCAAGGGACTTGATATGTGAACCCTTTTCTTCGAGAAAGATAGAAAAAGGATCCGGAGGCCTCGCAGAAGCAATGGGTACAGGTGGAATGGAAGCTTTTTATATCAAGCACAGATCAAAATCTCCAAGCTTCTATGTGATCTAGATCGGATTGATGGAAAATAAAAAGTTGACTCATGACAGTAAGATGATTTCAAATGGGTTGTTTAAATCAGCTAGGAAAACTGCCTTGGTAGATCACTCCTGCCCTTTCAATTAATTTTAGTGCATATAACACTAACACGGTTGGTGCCTTGATTCATTTCGAGCCAGAACCATCTACTATCAAGGTGGATTCCTGCTCTTCTCCCTTATCTACTTCTGCGACCGATTAATAATATATCCTGTGATGGATGCTTACCATGTTCTCTTTAGGTAGAAAAGGTCATCATGGAACTCCGGAAAAATTACCCCAGTGATGGCTTGCTCCCCATTTACATCGATTCTGATTCGGGAACCCCATCTTACCAGTCAACGATCACGTTTGGTGCCATGGGTGACAGGTACTGAGAACTTTTCTGCCCTTTTCTATCGATTACTCTTGTTGATCTGAAGATAAATCGACCTGTGTGGCGTTTCCTCGTCAGTTTCTTCAATCTTCAACTTCTCTGGTCCCTAGATTCCTTTGGATCTTTGATGTTATCTCCTTCGTTTTGAAGCTGCTTGAAATGGTAGTGATCAATCCTCTGCATTTACTTCGTGCTTTTTATAACAACAACCCCCCGTTGACTTTTCCCTTATTATTGGAGAGAGCCTCTAAAATGAGGGCTGTGTTCCAGCTTTTACGAGTACCTGCTCAAAGTCTGGATACAAGGAAATAAAACCGAGGCTGTGAGACACTACAGGTACGGATCCGAGGATCTTATCTATCTCCATCGATCATCAGTCGCGAATTTGTTTCGTCTCTTAGTGTGATTATTTATGAGGAAGTCAACTTCTGATGAATGATCAGCAAAATCGATCATGGGCTGCTTGGAGACTGCGATTTAACGGCTGATATTTTGGTGAACAGAGGGATGTGGGAAACGTCGATGCAGGGCCTCCTCAGCCTGGTTCGCAGGAGCACGCCTTCTTCTTTGTCCTACATCTGCGAGAAAACCGAGGATTCTCTCGAGGAGAAAGTGGGTTCCATTCCTTCCTGACTCGCTCACCTGCCGCAGCTAACGTTTCTCGTGTTCTACCCATCGTCCCTCCAGATGGATGAACTGGCCTGCTTCGTTCCAGGGATGCTGGCCCTCGGATCTGGCGGCTACGGCCCACAAGACGCCAGAAGGTTTCTCTCTCTAGCCGAAGAGGTAATCTCTCCTGCATTACTTTCTCTCTCTGCGGATCGGGATCATCTTCCTGATGGGATTCGGCTCCGCGCGCAGCTCGTCTGGACCTGCTACAACTTCTACCGGTCAACGCCGACCCAGCTGGCCGGAGAGAACTACTACTTCTATTCCGGGGAGGTCGTCGATCCCGAAGAACATTCCCCTTTGAGATGTTTCTTTCTCTCTCATGGTTCTGTGGACGCGTTTCTTCAGGACATGAGCGTCGGGACTGCCTGGAACATCCAGCGGCCGGAGACCGTCGAGTCGTTGATGTATCTCTGGCGGGTCACGGGCAACAGCACGTACCGAGAGTGGGGGTGGAATATCTTCCAGGCGTTCGAGAAGAACTCCCGCGTTGACTCCGGCTACGTGGGATTGAGAGACGTAAGCGTTGACCACCCCTCAAAACTCTTAAGGCTGACTGTCCCCTTTCAGCTAAAAAAAAAGGCGAGTGGGTTCTTCTGGCTGGGTTCACCGTTGCTGCTTGGCTCTGTTCAGGTGAAGACGGGGGAGAAGGACGACAAGATGCAGAGCTTCTTCCTCGCGGAGACGCTCAAGTATCTGTATCTCTTGTTCTCTCCACCCACGGTTATCTCCTTGGACGAGTGGGTCTTTAACACAGAAGCCCATCCCCTGAGAATTATACCGAGAGGCGATGGGATAGTCTCTCTTTGATTTCTTTGGGAGGCGAATAGGGGCCTAAAATGTGGGCGCTCCCTGTGGTTCCTCCTCTCGCCATTGCTGTCGATCAGAATGAACCAGTTCTTCTGTCTCCTTGCCGAGTGTTGCACCTCTTGTTTATTTCCTCCAGACTCTCTCTCTCTCTCTCTCTCTCTCTCTCTCTTGCTGCATTAATATGGGCTTGCGAAGAGTTGCAGCGATCCATTTGACCGCAGCTTTCTCAGTGGATGAACAGATACCTGCCTTCTTTCTGCCCTCGTTTCTCTCTCTTTAGAGGTTAATTGAAGAGACTTACCCTCGTAATCAGATTACTACTCTCTCTCTCTCTCTCTCTCTCTCTCCCCCTCTCTCTGCAGTCTGGTCAAGACATAAGGAGAGCGATACAGAGAATATGGCCGGAGCTGACGAACCTACATTTGCCGGCGAACGGCGACGAAATGGACACGACGACAAAAGATCCGTGGAGATGCGGAGGATGGCGAAGCGGAGGGGACGGCAAAACAGTGCCGATGACGACGGCTACGGCGAAGATTCCGTGTCCTTTCGAGCCCGGCCCCCGCCGCTGTCGAGGGTCCCCCGCCGCCGCGGAAGGGCTTCCTCTTGCTTCTACCGAGAAGGAACCAACGAGACCAGTCGTTACCCCCTCCGGACCAGGCGGGATCCTTCCGAGAGCAGCCGCCGCTAATCTCCTCGCGTGAAGAAGAAGAAGCGGAGACAAAAAAACGAAACCAGACGTCGTTATTGCGTATAGTAGTGCTGTTCTGCCGTAAAATACAACTACTACAAACTTCCATTCTGGTGAACTATCCGCCATTTCGCTGGTCAGCCAGAGCCCACGGTCAGACTGAGCTGAAAATGGAAAAAGAGGTCTAACTCAATATTTTCGGTCGAGTAAGGGGGAAGTGTATGCAAGTCAACGTTCCACCCAATTTTCGTCAACTTAAGCCCAACGGAACCCTGGACAGACTCTCAGCTGGCATAACGACAGGGGGTACATGTCACTAAGAGTATGCAATGAATGGGTGTCCTCGGAAATATCCGATGTATTGAGCTTCGGTGTGATGGTGCTGGAAATCGTCACCAAGAAGCGAACCACCGTCGTCTATCCAAAAATGATGTGTTGGAGTGTTTTACGTGGGAATAGCATCATTTTTCTTTCCAAATTCGTGTTTAGATGGCCGTGTATTACCTTATTTATTCACTAAGTAACGTGCTCAATCGCCTTGGAATGCTCCCTCAGGTTTTGGCAATGGTGGAGTGAAGGCCGGAACAGTATATTTTTCCGAGGGGCGTTGCTGCACGTTCAGGATGATCCGAGGGTTGGCCATCGACGTCCTCCGTGGTGTTTGTTGATGGGAAAGAGAATACAGCTCTGCCGTCGCCCGAAGCGAGCAGCGTTGGTTCTGAAGAGGGCCTCATCTCACCCTGCGTCGGCCATGGCAATCTCCTCGGCGCTAGAGCATCTGCGAGACGGAGAGCAAGAACACATGCCTTCCTGATCTCAGGAGCTCGTGGCCTGATCCAGTCGACCTCGGGGGTTTGCTCTCTTCCAGAGATCTGATAAATCCATATCTAGCGATGGGTGAGCTCACCACCGTCCTCAGTGTCCCCAACTCTCTAGCATGTTGGAAAAGGAAGAAAATTTAGTGGTGGAGCGTTACTTTCGTCCTCGTCTCGGTCCTCACTCTTACTAATTCTTAATTTTTGTTTCCACCTCGTTCATAAGCTTAAAGAATAACTGGCACCATCACCTTTTAGGCCGAGAATGGCTGCCGAAGTCGCGCAGCCGCAGGCCTTTTCTCACTGTAACCTTATGAATTTGGGAAGATGACGACATAGTCACGGGAGGTGGCCGTAGAAATTAATCCCGGTTACTTCGTGAGTCCGGGGAAAACTGCACCAGTCACGACTATGACGCATAACGATCTCCATGATAATGACATGCGAACAATGTGAGTAATTACACCGGCCCGTCGCGTCGTATTATAGGAGAACTTTCTCCGTGGTGATCACTGGTGTAATTACAATCTCACCCTCTAAGTTGCGAAGTCGTATACTCCTACTGGTTTATTTCCCATAACATATGGGCATGCCGAGGAAGAAGACCGGAAACCCTAAAACTTTCAGCTTAAGCACGGCTGCTCTGGTCAATTTTGGTTGCCAACGTCAGAAGAATGAAGAAGATTAAGAAGATTGAAGCCCCAACAACCCCTTCTCTCATCAAAGTTGCCGGAAGGAGGGAACGAACCACAGTCACAGATTCGAGTTATGGTCAAAGATCGTGAGAACGAAGACCGTGGAAAATCATGCGTTGCCCAACGCGGACCAAGTTTCAGAAGGTTTAAAGGATCATAGAGATAGGATGACAGGGAAGGAGCCTGTCGCACCATAAAAGCATCTAAAAGTTTGAATCATATAATGTGAACACGAATCATCTACGCCATCGCCCACCTATGGCAGGCCAACGCCTGTATTCTCCCCCCGACGTTCATGAATGCTGGTCTTCGGAGGAATAGAATGAAGCGGAAGAAGCAGTGAGAAGGGCTATGGGGCAGCGCTTTCTCCCATATTTAATTTGGCTCTTAATATCATCTCTTTACTGGGTATTCTGCGTTGCAGACAACAGACTACATCCTGACAATCGAATCTTCGTTAACCAAACCATAACTTCCTCGGGAGGGATCTTCGCTCTAGGCTTCTTCTCCCCCGGGAACTCCACTGAGAACAGGTACATAGGGATTTGGTACAACAGCATCCCGGAGAAGACGGTCGTATGGGTCGCCAACAGGGAAGCTCCACTGGTAGACGCATCAGGTGTGCTCACAGTCATGGCGGACGGAAACATCGCTTTGATAGACGGGAAAGGGGTTCTGCTTTGGAGTTCCAACCTCACTGGAATTCCTGTCAATACCTCCGCCGTCCTCCTGGACTCGGGCAACTTCGTTCTCAGAGATAGCGAGGAGAACGTCCTCTGGGAGAGCTTCAACCAACCATCCGACACCTATCTCCCCACGATGGATATCTCGCTGAATATCAATACTGGCAAAAGCATAGATCTGACGGCGTGGAAGGATCCACAAGACCCTTCACCTGGAAATTTTTCCTTCGGCCTCGATCGGAAGTCTCTTCTGCAGTTAGTAGTCAAAGAGGGATCGAAAATTCTCTGGAGAAGCCAGCCATGGCGTGCAAGGCAGGCTTTCGTTGTAGGCAATTTCAACACCAGTGACACCCTCATCCTTTCCTTCTCATTCACTGAGAAGGTGTTGAGTTTGTCGTCCTTGGCGACGGGGGCCTTGGTCCTCTCGAGGTACACTCTGGATACAAGCGGCAGGCTCAATTTCTCCTTCTTGAACCCTAGAGGAAACAGCTGGTCTCTCATGTCGTCCTTCCCAAGTAATGCCTGCGATATCTACAAACCATGCGGTGCCTTCTCATTCTGCAAGCTCGAGGGCTCTGCACACTCCTGCAGATGCCTGGAGGGATTCGAACCCACGAACATGAAAGAGTGGGAAGTGAGGAACTTCTCCAGAGGTTGTTTGAGGAAGGTGCCGCTGAGATTAAACAAGAAAGACGAGTTCTTGAGGTATGAGACCATGAAATTGCCGGACGACTTCTCCATCTGGTGGAATAGGACTGCGGAGCAGTGCATGACCGGGTGCTTGGATGATGGTCAGTGCACGGCGTACGCCATCGCCAATTTCACCGGCGGAGATCGAATTGGCTCAAGGTGTCTGGTATGGTCTGGGGAACTGATTGATCTGGTTAAGGCTCCAAATTCGGGAGAGGATCTGTACGTACGTGTTGCCTCAGCGCAATTGGGTACTTTCTTCAGCCCTTTCCGCTCCATTTATTTCCATTTTTACTATATTTCCTTGTCATAATCGTATGAAATTGAAGATTCATCCAATGGGTGAATTTCCTTGCTGTTCTTCGGAATCATTATTGTTGAAACTGCTTTTATTAACAAAATGTTATTCTCTTTTTGTTGCACTTCTCTCCTCTAGTTCCTCTGTACATCGTTTTTATTTTCATTTTCAATGATATTTCATGCAACCAAATGTGACGAGTTTGATCTCTGTAGATTGAATTTCATACAATCTAATGGGCAAAATGAATCAATATACCCTTGTTTCCAGACCCCAATGGGAAGAGTACTACGCTCCTGAAGATCGTAGCACCTACTGTTGCTGTTGTTGCGACACTTCTCATGGGAGCTTCTTTCTTTCTCCTATTCAGGAAACGAAAGAGCAGGAAAGGTAAATAGACGTACACCATAACCACCTGATCCACTTCTTTCTTTCTCGATTTATTAACCATTGGTATTTCTGTGCTTGCTGTATCTTAAGGAAGGAGGGTGAAAGGCGGCAAGGGAGTACTGTTTGACGGAAGTAGGTCCTTAGCTACGCTTGGAAGTGAACACGATATGTCTGAGCCAATCAAGTTGGAATTTAGTAGTATTATGTCCACGACAAATAATTTCTCGACAAAAAATCAGTTAGGGCATGGAGGCTTTGGTTCTGTCTACAAGGTATGCTATTCCTATCCATAATTTATGTTTTTCGATTACTAATTTGTTTGGGACCAAAGCTTGACCCAAGCTGGATTCACTTTTTCTGGGCCACGTTCTGAAAATAAAGCCTACAAAACGAATGGCCCAAGGATGGGACGGGTCTTAGTCTGGGACCCCAGTGTTTTGTCTGTCTTCCGGCTCTCTCCCCCCCGCCCTCTCTCTCTCTCTCTCATATGGACTTTTCTTCGCTCTGGAGACGTAGAAAATGCGTCCATTCGAAATGGCATGCGGGTAATTGCGAAGGTAAAGTAAGATTAGATTACGACTGATGGTCGATTATGGGATTCATTTCTCAGGGCAAACTATTGTCAGGCCGTGAAGTTGCAATAAAAAGGCTTTCCAAGTTCTCTGGTCAAGGACTCGAGGAATTCAAAAACGAGGTCAAGCTCATAGCCAAGCTGCAGCACACAAACCTTGTTCGTCTCTTGGGCTGGTGCGACCATGACGACGAGAAGCTGCTGGTCTACGAATATATGCCCAATGGAAGCCTGGACAAACTCATATTCGGTGCAGCTCATGCTTACCTTATTTGGAATATCTGTTCGTGATCTTTCTAGCACTTTGTTTTTTCTTAGCTTAAAACTGTGGAGCAGATGAAAGGCGGTCAGCGGAGTTAGACTGGGGAAAACGGCTGAGAATCGTAGAAGGGATAGCGAATGGTCTCCTGTATCTCCACCAGCATTCAAGACTGCGTGTCATCCACAGGGACTTGAAGACCAGCAATGTGCTACTAGACGCTCAGATGAACCCCAAGATTTCAGATTTTGGGTTAGCAAGGATATTTGACGGGACGCAAACAGAAGCCAACACTGGCAGAGTACTCGGCACATAGTAAGCCTCTCCTCCATTATTGGATTCGGAGGAAAATACACACCTTTTCATATTAACGCGGCGTTTTGTTTGGATTTGGAACGACAGCGGGTACATGTCACCAGAATATGCAATGGATGGGGTCTTCTCTGAAAAGTCTGACGTATTCAGCTTCGGCGTGATGGTGCTGGAAATTGTCACCGGGAAGAGGACCACAGGCTTCTACCCCTACAAAGACTCCTTCAGTCTCGTAGGTTATGTAAGTGCGACCCACTCGCAGAAAAAATTTCATTCACACAAAGACTGATCTGATGTAGGTAATCATTAAAGCAAATGAAGGATATTAAACTTTTGCTTCCGTCCTCAATTGATACATTAAGAATGGTTCTTCAATGATTACGATTAAAGTACATAGATCATAAGGATGGTCTGACTCTATTAATCGTCAGTTATTTCTTCCTTCAATGGCTGAATAACATTCGCATAGTATTGAAATCAAGATGGTTCATAGCATTTGTACACCCTTTTTACATTTTTTATTTGACAATGTCTAAATTTGGACCGGCATGTGAACTTTGTGAGAATAATAGCCCGTAGGAGATGGGCATTCTCCTTCAAAACTTGGATTTAAATTTACTAACTTTTGCTCAATATTTCTCGGAGATTATCTGAACCAGCATCATAAAAGTTTTTATCAAGAGACGAGCCTAATCGAACAGATTAGAAATGTTTGGGTTTTCAGATGGGGTAAACCCATGTCGTTGAAACCCGATCTGGGATTCAATTATAGATGGAAGTTATTGATTTGGAATGCCTGCTGCAGGTTTGGCAAATGTGGAAAGAAGGCCGGAGCTTGGAGCTGGTGGATCCCGCAGTGGATAATGTAGTTTTGACTTTCGAAGCAGAAAAATGCATCCGAGTGGGGCTGCTGTGCGTTCAAGAGGACGCGGCAGATCGACCGGACATGTCTTCAGTCGTGTTCATGCTGAGGAAGGAGAGTACAGCCCTGTCCTCACCCAAGCAGCCCACTTTTGGCATGAAGAAGGCGGCAGTTCTGCCATCTTCCACGGTAATATCTGCCATGGGACAAGAACACTGCAATGGACGACAACCAGGCGACAAAGTTTTCGAAGCTCTTGGAGACGACAGATGCTGACTTTTCAGTGGGTTCTCTCCAAATTTTGTTGTAGTTTACTTGCTCTGTCGGAATGGTGAGATCGCGGTTGAGAGTAACGATGCCAACCCTATTTTGGGATGGGAAAATGGACAAGTGATTAGCTTGTATTGCTCCGGATTCTGAACAGTACAGTTAACTCACATGACTCTAGGAAGACCAAGTCTCCTACCGAGAACAGAGACTTGCAGAAAACAGCGAAAAGAAACTAAAGAAAACAGGGGTAAATAAGCGGCCGCCGATTCAAAAAGGCGGCTTATAGCCTAGAATGTAGCGTTATTTTAGCTAGAATTATTTTTTTTATAAGAAGATCACCTCCATAGTTGACAAAAATTCATAATTGCTACCACAATATAGAAGGCGTGATCATAAGATAGATGGGAACCGGAAAGCCTGAAAGCCTTAAAAGCTTAAGCATTTGGTAATATGTTTAGATATTTTATCATCTATGTTGGTAATTTACTCCAAGTACAGGATTGTAATGTGTCGAATGAAATTTTCCATCTTGAAACACTTCATAAAATATCATTATAAAAAGCAATAATACGAGTTAGTTTCTAATGTTATGAATCCTGAAGCCTCGAGAGAGATCTGGGTAATGAGCATGAGAACAGTCTCTAGCTGACAATTTGAACGATCACAGAATAAATGAAGTCAAAGTGTCTTCTAAAACTCTGAGCTAGTATCACTAACTTGAGGATATTCTGCATCTACATTCCCTGGCAACTTTGGTTGTCATATTTTCCCAGATACCATCAACTAGTTGGAGGCTATAAATGATGGCTAGACTCGTCTCTCCTGGGGGAATTTCGTGCTGAGGTTCTTCACTCGTTTAGGTTCCAGGGAGGGGTGCCTGGACATATGCTACATGGTCTCTGAAAAATAGTCATATGGGTTGGAAACAAAGACAAGCCCCTTAATGTCGCTCGTAGGCTTAATCATCGACAAGGGCGGTGATCTCGTCCTTAATGGAAAGTCCAGGCTGATCCGCTGGTCTACAAGTCTCAACAATTTAATGAGCATCACCTCACATCATTTGAACTCCACCAATCTTGTGCTGAGAGAAGGGATGAGTCCTACAAACGAAATCTTCCTCTGGCAAAGCTATGACTATCCAACTGGTACCATCTTTGCAGGAATGAAAGCTAGGAAGGTTTCTCATGCATCTGTTGCATGCAAGCATATCTAAGGGGATTTCCGGTCAAGTACCAAGATGAGTGGAACATTCAAAGTTGCACTGGAGGCTGTGTGAGGAGGAGGAAGCTAATATGTAGAGGTGGCGACGTGTTCATGCAGGAGAAGAGGATGGAGTTGCTGGACACAGTGAACTTCACCATCCACATGGGCATAAGTCAAAGGTAGTACAGGGATGTGCTTAAAGAAGTGTTCCAGCGTAGTGTACACTGTGTCAGGGATCTGGTTTAGGTGATAACGTTATTGACAAATGGGCATATTGGGGTTCGGAGCATCCTCTCTCCCCCTTGTTACGTAGTGAAAGTCAGATGAAAAATGAAACACAAGAGAAAGAGAGGAAGAGAATGATGAGAACATGGAACGCACTCTATCTGAGTGGTTCAGAGAAACCTCCGATGTCCACTATGACACACAGATCAAGCTTCCTTCAAGTGATCGTCTCTTGCATTCCTCCAGAGCCAAAACGTCTTTCACGCCTTAATTACGTGAGTTGACGGCACCCCTCCTCCTAAGCTTAGAATTAGAGGAAAGTTCTATATAAACAAAGGACAAATATATCCATAAGTTGAATCTATATACTCCCTGAAGAGCTCCTTAAAGCCCATCATAATCCAATAAGGGATCAATCTCCACAACTACAACAATGGCAGGACTCATATCTGCGACTTGCAATTTCATATCTTGGTATGATTTATTAGACCTTTTGATTCGAGGAGCATGTTGGATGAGTAAAATTGTTTCTTGACTTGGGTACATTTGTTAACCTAACACGGCTTCTAATATTTGTAGTTGACTTAATATATTTCTAGAGGTACAGAATGGAGACACGATTTTTCCTTTCAGCATGAGATCCCTGCAACACAGCCGATGATACATTTTTAATTTTTTTCATTAATAGTATTATTGAAATTACGATTCTACCCTATGTTAAGTAGTGAAATGAGACCTTTCATAGGTATTTTCCTTGTCTGTTTTTAAACTTTAAAGCACTGACTTTCTGGATATACTATTGAGTCCCGAGACCCAAACTCCACGAGCAGATTGGTTACCATCTTGTGTCGTTGAAACGCCACTATCAACTATTCAACAAAAAAGGCGTATTCTTTATGCTGAGAAAATTTAATGGCAAACGAAGGGTACTATATTTTCATTCCAGAAAAAACCTACTTTCAACCACAAAAACTGGTACTATATTTGTTGACCTATAAGATTTCCAATGGTGTTTTAAGAAAAATAGCATGTTTCTTATGTCATGGGCAATCATAATGGCCAAATTTAACATATCTGGGTAATTTGAATGCTCAAGAAGTGCCGTATAGAACATTTTCCTATGAACTTCCTTGTAGATTCGACACCCCAGAGTTTATAGAAGAAAACAGCCTGCTCATTGGCTAATTCCTCGTTTCATCTTATTCATTTGCTAAAAATGGGTAAGCCGTTACATCTGATATATTTCGGCCACACGGGAACGGCTTAAACTGGATTTCAGTTCAAGGTTATCTATGAGAATACCTCATTTGTACCAAAATATTTTTGTTAAAAAAGAAATACGACAAGTAATGTTGATAACGAGATCCACAAAACATGCACACTACAGATTACTTTGCCGAACCTTGAATAAGGTCGGTGAATATTTGGCGTAAACACCGACCTTGTTCAAGCTTCAACCTTTGTGGGAGCTGAAACACCGCTTGGCGGTCGTTTTGGATGAGGCGGTTATGGGGTTGTTTTCGTTCTCTAAAAGTCCGGTGCTCTTCGATCTCTACCGGTCAACGGAGCCATCTTCGAAATTCTTCTCGAGAAAATGATTAATGGGTTTCGTTGACTCTTCGTACCTGTAACAAGTGAGCTCAGAATCACTGTCACACACGAAGTCCTCTACACTCTGGTCAATATTTGGCGTATGGATGACGGCCCTCAGCACAGTACTTCATAAATTGAATCATAGTTCGTCTCAGAAAAATACTGTTTAAGCAGTTGCTTTTTAGTTCGCAAAGCTGACATTCCACAGCTTCTCCAAACCTCAGAGAGAAGAACCGTCTGGAGTGGCAGTTGACCTTGAGCCGCAATGTCTTATGGAGTAGATAATAAATTTTCAATTTGGTTATCCAGGAAAATTGGGTTCCGGTTAGAAACTGCCCTTGAAGAGGCTGTGTCCACATTCCGGACAAGGGATTGACGAATTGAAGAGCGAAGTTACGCTGATTGCCAAGCTTAAACGCCAAAAACTTGTTCGACTTCTGGGTTGTTGCATTGAAGGAGAAGAAAAGATGCTGATTTATGAGTACACGACTCAACAAAACCTTTGATGTGTCTGTTTTCTGGATCATAATTCATTCTTATCTGCATCTCTTCTTAAGGGCCAGCTGCTGCTTCTGCTGACGACTATAAAGCATAAATCTTATAATTTTTTTCACGTCCGAAGGTGTCTCATTAGACGCACGGAGGGCGTAGAGGTAGTGAGATGACGCGTAGCAGGTTCTCTCCCAGATGATATCGGTAGTAATGCGTACCGTCATTTGTACCCACCGCTGACTGGCGACCTTACTTGGACGTACCTTAGGGGTCAATTCCGGGCTTCTCTATCTCCACCTAGATCCGCGGTTCAGAATCATCCCCCGCGGGAACGACTCTTCTTGACAGGGGCCCATGAACTACGAAATATCGCACTTCGGCGCTGGCAGGATCGCATGGAAGGATCAGGTGGATGAGAACACGGTCAGAATAGTCGGCAATATGTACGCCTCTAAGGCGCCCTATCCATTCCCGTTAATCTCCTGCCGAGTAGTCTCAATATCATATTCTCGTTGACAAATCATACAGTTGTCTCCGGAGAGCATCACAGACGCAAATTCCTCGGGGAAGTATGATGCGTACAGACTTGCAGTTTTAGTGTTGGAGATCGAAATTGCTAGGACCCGCTAGGATTTGTCAGGTCTCCCACCTAAACCTTCTCGTATAACCACATTGACGCCTAAATCTTCTCCCAGGTAAAACCCATGGTATCAGATGATGCCACATCGAATAATGTAACGATCAAACCTTCTCGTCATTGGCTAGTTCCTCCTTTTGACCTTATTCATTTGCTAAAAATGACTACACCATTACATCTGATATATCTATTAGGTTAAGCTCCTCCTGTGTGGTAAAATTGTTTTGGGATGAAGGAAACACGACAAGTAATGTTGACAACCAGACACACAAAACTTGCACACTCCAGGTTACTCTGACAAACCTTGAGTAAGGTCAGTGAAAGGCTTCCGCCTTGTGGGAACTGTAACACCGCCCAACGGTCATTGTCGACGAGACAGTTGTGGGGTTGTTTTCGCTCATCTTTAAATGTCTGTGCTCTTCGATATCTTCCGGTCAAAGGAGCCATCTTTGGAATCCTTCGGGAGAATATGATTTCAGGATTTCGTTGACCCTTCGCACCAGTAGTAGGTGGGAACGTAATTACAATAGTAGGCATTCCCCATGAAATCCTCTACCCTATTGTCAATATTTCGGCGTCACCTACCATCAATGATTCTGAGGAGCGTGGATAAGCTGAGCATATACGTGAGATAGCGCGTTCGAGAACTGTATGCCTTAAGAAAAACTGTTTAGGCAGTTGATTGTTAATTTGCAAAGCTGACATTCAAAAGTTTCTCCAAGTTCCGAGGCAGTTGAATGTTAATTTGCAGCGGAAGTCAACCCTCAAGCGCAGTTTCTTGCCGTTCAAGTTTTGTTATTAAATGTCATCATGATTGTCCGACATGTATGGTCGTGATCTTCCATTTAATATTGATAGGAGCTGTATATTCGGTGGAACCAATCAGCTAGCCTGTGAGGTACATTATCTGGTAGTCGTCGCAGAACGGATAGCCCCAGTTAATGTTCGCGATAAATACCAATGGTTGGAAGACGGAACACAGGCTAGAAAAACAAGCCAAAACTGCGTGCAGCTTCCACTGTTTGCCTACCGTAGATATTTTATGGTCTGAAGCAAGAATATAGCGTAAATAGTCAATAAGCGTCGCGATCAGATATGACTCTATCGTTAGTTAAAGGCATATCCGCTAGTGTCCGATGAGAAGATTTTTATTCGCTCTGAAGATCTGAGATCCGAGGTACCATTTCCAGCATGGGGAAATCATCGATGATCTTTCACTACTGTTTAGTAATTTCTCTCTTCGTCCTCGTATCGTCCTCGAGCGGTGAAGACACAATCCAGCAGTCGCAGAACATCAGCGATGGCCAGACTCTCGTCTCCGCCGGCGGGATCTTCGTGCTGGGGTTCTTCTCTCCGGGGGATTCCGGTAAGAGGTATCTGGGTATATGGTTCGCCATTTCTAATACAACAGTCGTATGGGTCGCGAACAGAGATAAGCCTCTCAACGACTCCTCCGGTATCCTGCGCATCGACAGCACCGGCAATCTCGTCCTCGCCGGGAGCCCTCCCAGCACAATCTTCTGGTCTACGGGTCAAACCAGCTCTGCCGGCGCTACAGCACAGCTGCTGGACTCCGGCAATTTCGTACTCAGAGAAGGGAGCAGTCCTACGGCCGGAAACTTTCTCTGGCAAAGCTTCGATCACCCAACGGATACCATGCTTGCGGGGATGAAGATCGGGCCGGACTACAGGACCGGGCGTGATCGGAACTTGACGGCGTGGAGGAACGCAAGCGATCCCTCACCGGGACGATTCACCTACAAGCTGGACCCTCGCGGGATGGGTCAGCCCTTCGTGCTGGATAACACGACGGTGATCTACCGCAGCGGCCCCTGGAATGGGATCCAGTTCAGCGGCTCACCGTCGATGAAGTCCTACCCGATGTTCTACTCTACCGTCGTCCAGAATCAAGAGGAGGCGTACTACCAGTTCGGTGTAACCCAGGCGACGACCCTCACTAGGCTGGTGATGGATCATTCCGGAGTGGCGAGGCGCTTGCTGTGGGATAGTAAGAAGGCGGGCTGGCAGGAGCTGTGGAGTTCGGCCCTGGACCGGTGCAGCAACTACCTCTTCTGCGGTCCCAACGGGGTCTGTAACGGCGATGGTTCTCTCCCATGCAACTGCCTCCCGGGATTCCGGGCCAGGAATCAAGACGAGTGGGACATTCAAAACTGGAGTAGAGGCTGCGAGAGGAATACGAGTCTGAACTGCGCCGACGGCGACGGGTTTCTGCCGCGGATGGGGATGAGGTTGCCAGACACGGTGAACTCCACCGTCGACATGAGCATGAATTTCAATGAATGTAAGGAAACATGTCGGAAGAATTGCTCCTGCGCAGCCTACGCGAGCGCGAACATCAGCGGAGGAGAAAGTGGTTGCATAACCTGGACTGGGGATCTGGTCGATCTGAAAACTTTTGGGGAAGCTCAAGATGGGCAAAACATATATCTACGACTGGCGAAAGCTGATATCGGTACGTTCTATCATCTTATTCACCCGAGATTTTACTCAATTGAAATCACGTATGACTGGTCTGAACCAGCTCCTTAAGGATGCTCCGATGTTCACATTTTTGGGGTCCCTCGCTCCTAAATCAGAACCACAAGTCGTATCTGAGTAGGCTGATCTTTGGTGAAGGAAATGGCTTATGCTTTTCCTTCGAGTAGCCCCCCGACCCATTTAAACTACGGCTAATCGCTCCAGTGATATTATTTGATACTCCGCAGAAACCGAAGCATAAAACTGGATATTACCCTCTCTTGTTCTGATATTTCGGTGGAATTTTGCGGTTTAAATGGAATTCGCCGGACTACACGCGCGCATACAGATATCTTGTTCACTACAGGAAACTGTCTTGGACTCTACCGTGGAACTTTCATATGCCAGACTATAGATTATTCGTACGGAATTCTTTTCAGGAAAGGAGATCCATTTTGACAAGGATTCTGCAGAAGTCAATATGACTTGCCGCATTAACTATTCATTTATGTTTTTTCTCTTTTTGCTGGGGGGTGGGGGGTGGCGTGGGTTTTAATCCATGGCAAGTGGTTTGGGAGGGAGGCCTCCTAATCCCATTGCTCGGCAGTGAAACCCCCCGGTCGACGTGGCCCCTTCACGGATACCGTCCACCATGTTGGCTGCTGACATAGCTGTCTGGTGAGAGGCAACTCTTCTGGGTGGGCGATGCCACACTCTTCGCTAGAGGCTGTCCGCAGTGGCCGATCGTTGAGAAGGCTTTCTCGCGGTGGCTATTCGCGATGGAAGTCCGCAGCGGTGAGCCCCAACCCTGCGGCGGACGACCCCCGTGAAAGGAACCTATTCGTGGTGGGAAGATGGCCTCTTTGTCAAGGCTTGGGCGTCGCAGCAGCAGGAAGAGTACTGGGCAGCGCTCACGCCCTTCCCCCTTGGCGGAGGTCCAACTCGCGGCGCCATTGCCGTACACGATGGGGTGGAATGGAGTCCTCTTGGCCGGCCAACTAGATTTCCCCATGAGGATCGACCCAAATTGATAATCTTATCCATGATTTCTTCGGAAATATATTTGATTCCCCAGAAATGGCTGCATCTAAATTACAAATTGTGTTCTTCAATATCTAATTCGAAATTCTTAAGAAACTTGCCTGATAGCCAAAATTCGTTTAATATTTTTGCCATTGCTTCTGGGTTTAGGAATGGTAGATAGCAAAATCAAGGTATGACAACGACCACCCCCAGTTGACAACTATGCATCTTCCTCCATTCTCTTTTGAGATAATCGAATAAGCTCGGCTTTCTGCCCTTTATATTTTAACCTCATTAGCGTTGAATCTTCCTTCAGACTCGTCTTCTTAGAGGGGAGTTCTCAGCTCATCTACTTCACCTTTTCTGTTCAGCCCTGTGTTGGGTAATCGTACTTATAGGCCTGTTTACAAGGCCGTGGAGCAGCAAGGCAGGCTAGAGAGTGTGGCTGCAATGCGATTCAGCCTACTGTCGTGATTATTTTTTCCCTGAATATTTGGGGGCATTCAGATGTTTACTTAGCATCAATTATTTCTCATGCAGAAGAGATTCTTGGGAAACCATCCAACAAGAGACATGGTGCAGTTATCGCCGTCACAGTGGCTTTAGCTTTGGTGTTGCTCATTTTGGCATTTTGGGGATATTGCATACGCAGGAAAAGGAATCGGAAGTCGGAAGCCATAATCGAAAACGGTAAGAAATTTCACAAAGGATTTCCATTTGGTTGTCCTCAGTGTAACTTTCTCGCTCAAGTGAATAGGAAAACATTTATGTGGATATAGTATAAGCACTGGGAATCATTCGTACCATCCAGAGAAATATTTATGTGCTGTTTAATCTTAGCTTCTACGCATCAATGCCAGGTTCAAGGCTTCAAAGCATCAACAAGGATCTTACTGATGAGAAAAACGATCTGCCCCTGTTTGATTTGGGTACTATAGAATTGGCCACAAACAAATTCGCAGATGGTAATAAGATTGGGAAAGGAGGGTTTGGTTGTGTCTACAAGGTGAGCTTTCCTTTTTATTACGCCTCCAAGAACACCGTAGGATTGTTATATCTTCCTCGTGGATGCATTTTACCCCTGGATCGCATAACTGAGGCGTAGTACCAATTCTCAAGCCTTCTTTACAACTTTTCAGGGAAAATTTGTGGATGGTCAGGAAGTGGCTGTAAAGCGGCTCTCTTCGCAATCTGGAGAGGGGATTGAAGAGTTCAAGACTGAGGTTAGGCTGATTGCCAAACTCCAGCACAGAAACCTTGTCCGGCTTCTTGGATGCTGCATTGAAGGAGGAGAAAGACTGTTGGTTTACGAGTACATGCCCAACAGTAGCTTGGATGTCTTCATATTCGGTAGGATTCTTGACTTTTTTTTTTTATTGCAATCATAGGATTAGAATTTTCAATACTGTCCCAATGCTTGCCCAGAATGATGCTAATGATGGTGTCACACCCAAGATCCAGTGATGGCCACGACTAACTTATAGACATCTACCATTGACATTAAAAGGAATTGGATCTTTTTTTATGTTGACTCAAGATCGAGCCTTTATTTACATGCAGGTGATGAACAGAAGCGTCTGCTTTTGGACTGGGAAAAGCGCTTGGACATAATCTTGGGGGTAGCCCGTGGGCTTCTCTATCTCCACCAGGATTCACGGCTCAGAGTCATCCACAGGGATCTCAAAGCAGCCAACATACTCCTAGACGAGGCTATGAACCCCAAGATCTCGGACTTTGGCACTGCCAGGATCTTTGGAAGGGATCAAATGGAGGACAACACCGTGAAAATAGTCGGCACCATGTACGTTCTCTCTCTTGTGCTAGTTATTCATTTTGGTTTGATCTCATGACGAACAGTGACAATATTATTTTCGTTTTCACGAACGGTGCAGTGGATACATGTCCCCAGAGTACATCATGAGTGGGAATTTCTCGGAGAAGTCTGACATCTTCAGCTTTGGAGTTCTGGTGTTGGAAATCATAAGTGGTAGAAAGAACCAGTGGATCTCTCAGAAGAACTTCCACATGAGGCTTCTAGCCAACGTAAGTGCAGAACAGCTAGACCCATCTACCGAATAGCATTCCATGTACCGCTATCATCGTTGGTCCCTAAAGCCCCAAGCGTATATATATAGTACTGACCATTTTGGGAAACTTAATTTCAGGCTTGGAGACTCTGCACCGAAAACCAATGTGATAAGCTCTTGGACGACATGCTGAGGCCTCCAAATCAGCTCTCCGATGTCCTGAGGTACATACAGATTGGGCTCCTGTGTGTGCAGGAGTCTCCAGACGACAGGCCGACAATGCAAGAGGTAGTTTTCATGCTGGCCAACAGGAATTCTGTGCTGCCACGGCCGGAGAAGCCCGGGTTCTTTAAACCCACCAGCCTGGTGGCAGCAGCACAGTGGTTCGCCGACGGCCATAATCTATCGCCCTCTGTGAACGTGATTACTCTCACGAATGTTGAAGGGCGCTGAAAGGTTCTTGGTTTATGTCAAAATCATTCCACTGGAGTGAAGTCTAAAAGCTGGTGCAGGAACAGGGACCCTCATAACGAGGCTCAGTTTCTTGTTCAGTTTTGTACTTCCCTTTCATCTTCAATTAACAGTAACCAAGTCTACTGATTTCTATCCGGTGAATGCATAACAGTAGCTGCAGTATGTCTACGCAGTTACCATTGACCCAAGGGGCAGGTTCCTGTCTCTTTTTTCTGTCCGCCGTCGGCCGATTACGCCAGCCCAATAATGTTGTTCGGCCCGATTGGAAATTGACCTGGTCAATATTTCTAAGATGGGAGTGAAACGTTCCTACGGCCCAGTTTGGCTCACAAAAAAATGCTTTCGCTCACAAATGAATCTGAGAATCAAACGAGACTTCTTTTATCTGTTTTACTATTTGCAATCCAGATCAGATTTGGATTATTTACCTAGTCAATTAACTAATAGTAACTAAGAGAAATATTACGCTGGCTATTTCATCGTCACACAAAAAATAGATGGAATCCCCCACGAGAATCGTTGTAATGGCAACAGCGGGATTTAAGATTTCAAAGATGATAGTTTTCCTTGTATTAGGATCTAAAAAAACTAAAAATATAGTCAATAGATTCAGTTCGATAGTTAATAATAATCAAATTTTGGAGAAAGAAATAAAATTTGATGAGGTGAGATACAGACACGAATCTTAGTAATAGTCGTGGACACTATTATCCTTCATGTAGATGAGTGAGTGAACATGGGTCCCAAGGGAAAGACATTCATGGATTGAGCTTCACAAGAAGCTTTCTAGAGCTAGAGAAGAATACCCCAAAACTTAGATAAGTCTATCTGTTATCCGTTTATTAGGGTGTAAAAAATTTGATATTTCCTTTGTGAGAACGATTATTTCTAAATATATGATTTTTCTTCGTGTTGAGATTTTCTGTGTCTTTGTATGCTGTTGTGAGTGGCATTCTCTTTATAATTTATTTCTCTAGCTTATCGTTCAATAGCGGGGGTTTTAGACCGTTTCATGTGGCGACACAGGGTCCATGTATTTATTCAATTAGTCACATCTTTAAGATTTCATTTTTGTGTGCCTTTTAAAAAAAGGCTTCATAAGAACCGTTTGAAATATCAGCCATGAAGTGAACTGAGAAATGATAATACGTACGAATATGAGCAGTAAGACGTATGAACTGGAAAAACTTCAAGTCAGTTCATCAGGGAGTCCGAATACACACAACACCCATTTATCACACTGAATTATTTACAAGATGCACCAACAGAGAAATTTGAACACAAAAACAATATAGAAATAGAGCAGAGAGTCAAGTTGTCACCCATTCCAACTGGGGCGGCATGCACATACAGGTCCTCCCGCACGCTTACGTCCTTCTCCTTGCCATCGTTGAGAACTGGGTTGCCGCTTCTTCCACTGTTCGCACGTTTAATCCGAAACCCAACACTCTGTGAAGAGAGAGAAAGTTCGTGAAAAGATGAACATGGAAGTGCTGACAACTTTTTATTCAGTCTTTAAAAAGTCTATAGTTGTCGGCTGGCCTAGCATTTTTTTCTTTTCAGTCAAGCATTAAAGAATTTAAAGAAATTAAACTTTAGATGCAAGAAGCCTATTGCAGTGATAAACAGCCACGTCGTACCTCTTTCTTCCATGCCTGGTGACACGGACATATGTACTCCCTGAGTTTATGTTAAGGTATATTATTGCATGTAAGACCTGAAACAACATTCCGAGATTTCCGTGACTGCTCCTTCGGATCATTCACTTCAATCTCTTAATTATACAGTTCACCTCCATATCCAGGGAGGTGAACCAGAGAGAGCTAACCCCTCGTCCAACTACGAGATCAAACTGAATGATCAGCTCACCCCCGTTCGCTTAAGGGGGCCCCAAGAGAGGGAGAGCTCACTCTATAACTTCTTATAAACAGACGGTCTTTTCTCTTATCAGATAACATCCCTTTTATTTGGAAATTCCATAATACATTTCTTTGATTGCGGAATAGGGGAAGGGGCCCCATTCCTTAGTTGTCACAAAAAGATCAATAAATATTAATCTCATTTTACAAGGATCAAAACCGCATTACTAGTATTCGTATAATTGATCGCAGAAACTTGTCAAGATTGTGTACTTCCTGGTAGTCTTGCGCCCATGACAGTGAGACCACGATATATGGTTTTCCAGGAATGATCCAAAAATGTCTATGACAGCAAGACAAGACGGCTGTGATCTGACATTGAGCACCATGGGTAGCTGGATAACTCAATGTTGCTCTCTAAGTTATTGAAGGAATCCCCATAAAGGACCGGCAATCCGGGGGAGGCAAGCTCATGATACAAAAGGTCAGTGAGTACTGTCTCTCATAAGTGAGAGCAAGGATGGTGATGCAACCAACGGTGGCTCCATACTTGGGAAGCCTGAGGTGAACTGCTATAATGGATTGTTGAGCTCCTTTTATGCTTTTCAAAAACAAGAGAATGGCATGAAAATCGAGCTATTTTTTGAGTTTCAGATTCCTTACGGGTAAAGACTCCTTCAGGGTCAAAAACTCAAAGTTTTCTTACTCAAACCTATTCTTTTACTTACTTAAGGGATACAGATTTACTATGGCCTCTAAGGCGCATAATGACATCTAGAAGTTAGATACATCTTCTAACTCTAATCTCTAGAAGTATCGTGTATATGATGCATTATTGTAGGCTGACTTGTATAAGATTTTGGATGGTTCAAAGTCAAATAAAATCAGTATTGATGATTGAGAAATAATGGAGAAAAACGTTGAAGATTTTATTTGTACATGTTTATCTGATTAGGCTTTTCGACAAGTCAGATAAATACAATCCAAAGAAACTCTAGAAGAAAAAGGAGAAATGATGTGTACCTAACTTGATGAGTAAATTGACATTGAAAAGAAAGTTATTTGAGTTATACATATTAGATGGAGATGATTTGACATCTCATATTGATTATTTTAATTAATTATTGAATGACTTACTTCGTATAGAATCAGATTTTTCTAATGAGAATAAAGTTATTATTTTATTTGTTTCTCTTCTTGATTCATATGATTACCTTGTTACGACCTTGTTGTATGGTAGTACAACACCTGTTTTTGAAGATGTGACTCATTGATAGAGTACTATCATCAAAAGAAAAATATTGGTAAAGCTTGTGGCAAATGTTTATATGTGAAGGGTGGAAAGAGAACATAGAAGGCAAAAGGAAAAAGAATCATTAGGAGACAAGAAGAGTTGATTTAAGTCACAGAAAATTAATTAAAAAACTAGATGTGTCACAAGTGTCATGAGAAAAGACACGTGATGAGATTGTCCAAAGAACTAGAGTGATAAGACAAAAAAAGATGAATCTAATTCAGCTAATGTTGTAAAGGGTGAGAACAAACTAGATGTTAAAGTCTATTCTAAACTTGTTGTAGTTGAGGAGTTGTCAAATATATAGATTCTTGATATTGGTTGTTCTTATCATATATGTCTTAATATTGACTGGTTTAACTCATACAGGAGTTCAACAAGAATTATTTTTTTAAGAAACAATGTAACTTATGAAGTTATAAGCATTGGTTTAGTAAAAGTTTGGATGTTTAACAAAATAGTCTAAGACCTTTGCTTCAAACGAGAGAATGGAATCCTCAAAATGATAAAGGAATTACTTCTTATGATGAAAGGAAGATGTCAATGAGTAAATATTTATAAACTTGACAAAAGTACTATTGTAAGAGAAGCTTATATTGTGACACTAGATGATTTTATGATTAATGACATATTTTTATGACACTTGTGATTGAGTCATATGAGTGAGATAGATATGTAGAAGTTACATGTGCGAGGACTACTACCTGATGTGAGAACTTGTAAATTGAATTTTTATAAGTACTATATTATAAGAAAATAGTGTAAGGTGACATTCAAGATAACGTAGTATGATACAGGTGGTGTGTTGAATTATGTTCATTTAGATATGTGTGGTTCAATAGACGTGATGTTGATGGGTGATACTTGATATTTTCTGACCTTTGTTGATGATTTTTTCAAGAAAGTCTAAGTATTCTTGTTGAAACACAAGTCTGAAGTATTTACAAAGTTCAAGACTTAGTGTGTGAAGGTGAAGAATTAAATGGGGAGGAAGATCAAAGTCTTGCAGATTGATAATGGTACAAAATTTAAGAATTCTGAATTTGATTAGTTTTGTGATGAGCATGATATTCAATGTCATTATGATGAAGAAGACTTTGTAGTAGAATGGTGTTGTTGAGCAGATGAACCACACAATTACTAAGAGAGCATAGTGTTTATGACTGAATGTTGACTTGTGCAAAGAATTTTGAGTGGAAGCTGTGGGTATGATAACTTATTTGATGAATAGATCATCAAATTCTACTCTTATGAAAAGGTTACTGAAGAAGTATGGATTAGAAGTCCTATTGACTATTTGAATTTACATATATTTAGATGTTTAGGATATATCCTTACACCTATAAATGAAAGATCAAAGTTGGATCTAAAGTCAAAGAAATGTATCTTTTTGGGCTATAGTACTAACATGAAGGGACATCGACTTTGAGATTTAGAGGTGAAGAAAGTTATTTTCAGTAGGGATGTAATTTTAATGAAGATCATATGTTGAAGTTTTTTTCTACATAACAAAATGTTCAGAAATTTGATGATACTTGAGTTGTAAACAGAGCAAGAATGGGGGTGAAGACTGTAGAATCCTCTTAGTTCTATTGTGAGTGAAGATTGAGTTGCAAAATCATCAGATGTTCTTGATTATATTACTACTAGACAAAGTAGGTGTAAAGTAAAGCCTCTTGCTTATCTTAATAATTATGTTGTTTTTGTATTATTTATAGGAGATGGTGAGCCCACAACTTTTCAATAGATAATTAGTTGTCTTGAAAGAGAGATATAGATATAGATAATATTTGAGAAGTAATCACCTTTAAATAAGAACCACACTT